GCTGCAGGTTGTGGTAGCACGTAGGATCGCCAGTTCTGAGGCTGTGGTTTTGATTCCACTAAAATAAAACAAAATGTGGTTTAAAAAAATACAGAGTTTAAAAATTAAATAAATGAAAGCAGAATCATCACATACCCTGTATTGTCAGCGCCAACAAAAACGCAAAAAGGTACATAGCCCGCAACATGATTTATACCTATTGATGAGTTAACAAGTAAAGTGAACTGCTGCTCTTTTGGTTTTTGACTGCCCTTTCTACAAATTGTGTTAGTCTTATATTGAAGTACTCAATGAAGTTTATATTTAAGTTAAGTAATTAATAACCGGTTGACATTAAAAATGCTCATTTAGAAACCATCTAGCAATTTTACTAATTATTATACCTACCGTTACAAAGCAAAATGCAGTTACTTTTTAATTGGAAGTGACATTAACCTAATAGAGATGTAACACTAATGTAACCAATGTCCATGTCGTTTATGGTGAGAAATAAATAAGTAAATAAATAAATAAATTAATAAATGGACCTAATGGGAATTAGGAATGCGGATTGCAAATTTGGAAAGTCTTGAATTCGAATCCATGGTTTGACTACCACCGTGAAACACTTCTAACACAAGCATTTTTAGCTTACTTGCAGTCGTTAATGGAAGTATTAGTAATGTTCATATCGTGCTAGTATTGTTTTCATAAATACTTTTATACCTGGCAGAGCCACGCTACAGCTATATTATGGTTGCAGCACGAATGGGTCGGCGCGACCGGGGTAGGACCATGCTATCGCAGAGTACCAGCGTAAAATAGCAGCTTTGCTGCTGTGTTTCGTATGGTGGGTATAGGAAACCGAAGAACCTTTTCACTGAAAACGAGGCATTCCATCTTATTCCTCAGGAGTGGCAAAGAATATGTATTTTGATACTTAGTCGAGGATAAATACAGATGCCTATGGGTCACAGCATTCAATTATCATATGCTCGTTTGTCAGCCACATTCTATACACCTGTTGTACGTTAACGTTTTTTAACGTAGTAAAACCACGCTCCAGCTATGTTATGGCTGTACCACACGAATGAGCCGGCTCGACCGGTGTAGTACCACGCTCTTACAGAATACTAGGGTAAAATAGCAGCTTGACCCTGCTGTGCTTCGTATGGTGAGTATAGAGAACCGGAGACCCTTTCTACTGGAAACGAGGCATTCTATCTTAGTCCTCACGGGTGACAATGCATCTGCATTTTGATTCCTAATCGAGTATAGATGTAGATGTATATGAGCGTCAGCACACACGTACCATCAGGTGGACTGTGTGCTCGTTTTTCACCCTTAAACTATAAAAAAAATATAGTTTTGATGGAGGTCTGTCTCGTCAGATAAATTGACTTAAGGGTGATTACTTTCACTTGATGTTAAGTGGTGGCTGCTAAATCTAAACAAAGAAGGACAGAAAAGAAGGACAGAAGAAGGACAGAAGGACAGGAAGGGTGTATTGTTGCACTTGAGTATTAATGTGGAATATCTAACAACCTGTTGTTATAATGATTCTCCTACTCCGGAATACAGCAGTGGCTGTATCGATACCTCACAAAAATAAAAAAGAGGGCGGCACCTACTTAGGTGAACACCTGAACAGTAAAGGCGTCCTTCTAGCTAGAATCTTCCCCAACGTTATGCAAAATTTTATTATGTCAAGATTTAGTGCAGAATTGTTTTCAGTTTTTGAAGTTATACTTCTTTTGGCACGTTTGAGAAAAATAATGAGAGTGAATTTTTTTACGATGCGCGCGCACACCGAAAATTATAAGCGACAACTTCAGTTGGTAATTTTCTGTCAACTGTCAAGTTTTCGTGAGAATTGATAACTATATTCAAGGTTTATTCAAATAGGGTAAACAGTACTAATGTTGGTACTCCTTCAATGATTGGCACTTTGCTATTTTAATCTGAATATTAAGAATGCTATCCTTTTTCTATATCACAGCTACACTGATATTGCTAAGATATATAATAACTTATACTAACAGACACATTTATATTTAAAGTGTCAACTATTTTCCTATAAGGGCTGTTTTAAAAATGTGTGCGGACAAATCCGTTAAAATTAAACAAAAAGTTAAGGTTTTGTGGCTAGATTTTGAGACAAAAATGTGATTTTTAGGTTAGCTTATATGCAAGTTTCTGTCTATTTTTATTAATTTACGCCATTAAAGCATATTAAAAGTTATTTTATCGTTGTGAAATAGAAGCATTGTATTTTTTAATGGTGCCAATGACTATACTTTGTTTGACTACATAATCATTGGCATATACGTCAATCACTATACTTCCTTTCTTTTGTCCAAAATCTATTCTTGACACTGCCAATGACTATATCCTTTGAGTAGTGCCAATAATTATGACTGAACTTTTTCATATTTTGAATTGATGAAGAATACCGCTATTAAGAGCGGGCGCTTTAGAGAAATAACTGCTGCACTAACATTTAACATTCCACGCGCGAATTTACAGTTCCCACTAAATAAGTAAAGTCAAAAAAACGAAGAAGCTGAAAAGCCGACCTGGTCATGGCACAGTTTTCGATGTCATAAAAATATCAATGTTGTGATGTTTTTGAATAAATACCCCATACATACTAAACCATTTTATAGAGGGAGAATAAAACGTCTATGAGGTGGATCATGCCTAATCGAAGTCTTGCATCACTGTTCTTTGGAGTAGATGGTAAAACCTATTATTTTCCCTCTATAGAAAATGTGATCAGACGTTCAAAAGTTAGTGCCTAGAGAGAGGGTTATTTACTATCTTAAATACGGCGCAACTTTGCCGCAATCTGAATGCAACGCGACTATTGCAACCAGCTGATATCACTGCATTTCGGCCCACCAAAGATATGTGGCGTAAACCTGTCTTCGAATGATGGACAAACAATTTGACAAAAAGGTTACTAAAACAGATGCGGGCCTATGTTAGCAAGACTTTTAGCGTATTGAAATAAATCTTAATTATGAAATGGATTTGAGACATGTGGAATGTGCCCATTTAGTCCAGACAAAGTGGATTAAACAAAGTGTCCGATGCCCTTGAAATCACAGCAAGCCATTTTAGATGATCACCGTTCCGCGCCATTACGCCGAGTTGCCAAATATTTTTAGAATAACGACTAATAACGACTGAATCAGAAATACCTGTATCAAATTTGCCTTGTATCATTTCACTTAATAATGGTTTATCAGTACCAGAGCGTATACAACCTGCAGAGATTATTGTTGAGTATCAGAAAGAAAACTAACCCTTACGTTTTTCATCTACTTGGCAGCAAATTTAGAATTTGTTTGAGGTGAATGGGTGATCGTGGATGTCCAAACGAACAAAAATCTTTTAGAAAGCCCTAAAAATATTTATATAGTTTTTTTCATTGCCAAATACGTATCAAAAAGCAAAAAGCAGGTAAACAACGCCGTTAATTTGTGCTAACAAGTGAAGATTCGGAAGCAGCGGAGCTAAAAAAAAATGGAAAAATTGGGCACAAACGGAAAATGCAGAATTGAATTAGTCAGCCAAATATACAAAAATACTGAAAAATAATAATTTAAAATTAAACATTTTGTACAGCCGACTTCAATATAAGTTATTAAGAATATTTAGTCTGACCTTGATCAAATTCATATAGGATCACACGAGTAGCACCAGCTTTCAAATAAAAAAAGAATCATCGAAATCGGTTCACTCAGTTAAAAGTTATGAGGTAACACACATAAAAAAACGTACAGTCGAATTGAGTACCGTCTCCTTTTTGGAAGTCGGCAGACAAAACGAGCCGAACGAAGCCAAAAAATCTGACATTATAATACTCTCTAAATTTTTAATCTGAAAAACCGAAATAAAGTTCTATTTCTACAAAATATCGAGAAAACACGAAAGATTTTACTAAAAAAGTCACATCAAAAATATATACGAAGAAAGAAAAAAACATGGTAGACCAACGAAACCGCTTTCAGATGAAGATCTAAGGAAAATTTTTGAAGAAGATTTGTTAACAATAAGTCTTATAACAATAAGATGGGGCTTAGAAAGATCTGGGTATAACTTTTTAAGACTTCTAATAGTGCCAATTGTTAGCAATTAAATATAAAGAACAATTAAGCATAATATATTGAATTATCCTAATTTTAATGTAGTTATCTCTTGAAATATACATCTAACTTTAATAAATGTAAATCGAATTTCCGCTTTTGTAGCTTTGAATTTCCGGTAAGATTTTTATTGTAATAGTTTCGGATTTGACTTCTAACAAAAAGAAGGATATAAATGGCCGTCACGACCCAAGCTAGGCATTCAGTTCTAAGGTGTTGAAACTTAAGAGACTTGATTGTTTTGTGTAAAGATATAGTGAAGGTAATAAGAGTAGAAGTGATTATTTGTAAAGTGATTATTTGTACGATAAATAAATTGTGAGTTATAAACGGATGAAATAAAAGTGATATATTGTAATTGTATTATTTGCTAACAAATCAGAAGTGGGATTATATCGAGCTACTCGGTATTTCGGACTCATTGGGTAAAACATAAATAGGTAAGTTTTATTTCCCTCTAACTTATACACAATTTATAGTTTGTTAATACCTATCCATATCGTTCATGGCTGATTTATAATAATATTCAAGTTAGGCTCAAATTGCTAAATTATGTCAGTTTTCTTTTCTCCTTCTATACTAACATTTTTTGGTCAATAATTTGGCTTCACATAAGCGTACTAGCCAAACTATATAAAACTAATACTGTATCAGGATTAAAGATATTTTCTATTTATTTTGTGTTCAGAGTTAAAAAAAAAGGCTGAAACCTGTATTGTTTACTTACGCAACCCAATTAATTAATTTTAATTTTTAGCTACATGTATAATGTTTTTTTTAATATTAAACAATTAAATATAATAAAAATTATTAAAGAAAAAAAAAACATTTTGCTTTCTAGTCTTCTGTTAATATTTCAGTGACAAAAACATGGGACGAGACCGACGATCTCGTAAGCGTACGAACACGGGGTCTTGCCCGAGCTCATCACCAATGTCGTCTAGCAGTGGGGCCGAGCGACAGTCGAGATCAAGGTATCGAACTGACTCCAGCACCACTCGACGCAAGCGCTTGCGATGCAGCGGGCGAAGTGGTTCCAGATGTTCGCTGAATAAGTGCGGCGCCTCCAGGCGTATGCAACGTGACCGAAGTACATCTATACGTGTGCCGCTTGAGCGCAGTACATCGAGGTATACCCCCGACCTCTCAAAGGACACACATCGGGTAAGAAGTGCAAAAAAACACCGATCTTCACCGATCAATGAGGGTGTTACGTCGTGTCTCTCTGCAAATAGCTTAATAGATACATTTAAAGAACTAGTTAATGCGATTAAACCTGATAATAGTAGCGATCGTTATCCTGCCATTAACGTTGTTCCAGAGTTCGATCCATCTAAGAGTAATCAAACCGTTAATACCTGGATTGTTAAGGTGAACGAGTGTGCGGCTATTTATGGTTGGTCAGAACGTCAGATAATCCATTATGCTCTTCCAAAATTAGTTGGTTTAGCGCAAAAGTGGTATCAAGGTTTGCCAAGCTTAATGTTTTCTTGGTCTGAATGGCAGGATAAACTAAGGTCAGCATTTCCAAGTAATCAAAATTATGGCCAACTGTTAACAGAAATGCTTGCGTGTAAGGCTCGATTTGGCGAGTCCTTAGAAGAGTATTTTTATGAAAAGATTGTTTTATTGAACAGATGCTTAATATTTGGTAAAAATGCTACAGACTGTATTTTATTTGGCATTGAGGATAGGTCTGTTAGAACAAGTGCCGAAGCGGCTCAATTTACGGAACCAGATAAATTATTAATTTTCCTAAGAAATGTTAAAACTGTTAGGAGACCTGAAAGGAACACCACAATTCAAGCAAGCACTTCTGACAACAGACGGCCAAAAGTCTTTAAGCCGATACAAGGTAGTTCTGCTATTAAAACTGTACCAAAATGTTATAACTGTGGTGAGGAAGGACACCCATATTTTAAGTGTAAACATACTATTAAAAGGTGTAACACGTGTCATAAGATAGGTCATTTAACTGATAGTTGTCCGAAACAAGGGTCCGCAGACAGCAAGTCTGTTTTAGTTATAACCAAAAATACTGATTATGATTTAAAATATTTTAAATCAGCCAAGGTTAATGACATAGAATTAGACTGTTTCATAGATTTTGGTAGTCAATGTACCATGTTGAAGGAATCCGCTGCTAAAAGTCTAGTTGGTTCGTGGTCAACGAATAATTTGCCAGTTTTACGAGGCTTTGGAGATTCTGTAGTGAGATGTCTCGGTACGTGTGAAGTCGTAATTGAAGTGGATCTTGTTAAAGCTACGGTACAAGTTCTTATTGTGGCAGATGAGTTACTAAGAGTTCCGTTATTGCTGGGACAAACTTATACTGAACAAGATCACATAGTTGTTTATAAAAATAAGGATAGCTTAAAAATAATTTCAAGAGATTCACAAAAAGAAACTAAGGTTTTGCTGTACGTTGCTGAATCTACGTCAGTTGCTTTTGGTTATAATGAAATATATGTTTATTCATCTCCAAATTATAAGGGTCAGTTATTTATAGAAGCTAGTAGTTGCCAATTACCTAAACGTGAATATGAAGTTATTCAGAGTGTCATACAGCTAAACAATGGTCAGGGACGAGTAGTGATTAAATGTGTATCTTCAACCCTATATTCTTTAACAAAAGATACGCTACTGGTTCGAGCTCTACCTTTAAAAAATATTCAGAATATTTATGTAAATAAAATTGAATATGACTCTGCTCCTCCTGTTACATTAATAGAAATTTCAATGTTAAATATAGATAAAGACTTGGGCCATAGTGATAAAGTTAAATTACTAAATCTTCTAAACGAATTCAGGCAATGCTTTGCTTTTGCAATAAATGAAATTGGGTGCGTACAAGGTTCAGAAATGAATATTAAATTAAATGACAATAATCCCGTAGTATATAGACCATACCGTTTGTCTCAACCAGAACGCGAGCGTGTTAGAGCTATGGTAGAAGAATTAGAAAACTGTGGAATTATCAGAGAGTCTACGTCAGAATACGCGTCGCCTATTATCCTTATTAAAAAGAAAACAGGAGATTATCGTCTTTGTATAGATTTTCGGGCATTAAACAAAAAAACTGTAAAGGAACATTACCCTTTACCGCGAATTGATGATCAATTAGATAATTTATCTGGATTTAAATATTACACTTCTTTAGATCTTGCATCTGGCTATTATCAGGTACCTATGTCTGAATCTTCAAAACATCTCACAGCTTTTATTACTCCTGATGGACACTATGAGTTTAATAGGATGCCATTTGGGCTAGCTAACGCTCCTTCTATCTTCCAAAGAACTATTAACAAGATTTTGGGCAATGCAAGATTTAAAGAAGCTTTTGCGTATATGGATGACGTGATAATTCCATCAAAAACAATTGAGGAAGGGTTTCAAAAACTACGTAATACTTTAATATTGTTCAAAGGGGTAGGCTTAACTTTAAAAGTGGATAAATGTCAATTCTTCATGCAAAATGTCGATTACTTGGGATTTGAAATAAGTAAAGATGGCGTGCGACCTGGAAAGAAAAAAATAGAATCCGTTGAAAAGTTTCCTGAACCCGCTAACCAACACAATGTTAGACAATTTCTGGGATTGGCTAGGTTTTTTCGTAGATTCATAAAAGGATTTTCTACTATAGCAAGACCATTAACACAACTCTTGAAAAAGGATTCTAAGTGGAGATGGGGTACGGAAGAAACTAATGCATTTTTATCTTTAAAAGAAGCATTAGTTAAACGCCCCGTCCTTGCTTTTTATAACCAGTCATATGAAACACAAGTTCACACTGACGCTTCTAAGGTCGGTATTGCAGGTATTTTGTTGCAGAGACCCAACAAGGAATCTCCTTTTAATGCTGTAGCTTATTACAGTAGACAGACTACACCTGAGGAGAGTCGTTTTACAGCTTATGACTTGGAAACGTTAGCAGTTGTCACATCATTGCAGCGGTTTCGTGTATATCTATTAGGTATATGTTTCACAATAGTTACTGATTGTAATTCTTTAAGAGCAACGTTTGAAAAACGTGATATGTTGCCTAGAGTTGCTCGATGGTGGAATATAATGCAAGAGTATGATTTTAACATAATATATAGACCAGGTCTGTCCATGTCACACGTCGATGCTCTTAGTCGTAGTCCGGTTAAGTATGACGAAAATTTCGTTGATGTTTGTACAATTGATTCGAACTGGATTTCTACTGTACAGCAGAGCGATTCAGAACTACAACGAATTGTAAATATATTAGAGGATCCCAATACAAGTAATCTTTTAGAAATAAAAAACAACTTTGTGGTAAAAAGGGGTCTGCTGTATAGAAAAACGCAAGATGGCGATCGCTGGGTTGTACCAAAGGGAGTACAATGGCAAGTATTAAAGGCTAATCACGATGATATTGGTCATTTTAGTGTTGATAAAACTTACGATAGGATCAAGGGTCAATACTGGTTTGCTAAAATGCGGAGATTTGTAAAAAAGTATGTGAATTCTTGTCTTGAATGTGCTCACAGCAAAATTCCAGCTGGCAAGAAAGCTGGGGAATTGCATTCAATACCAAAAGTTAATAGACCATTTGACACTATCCATATAGACCATTTAGGGCCCTTTGTGCGCAGTAAAAATAAAAACTCTTATTTGTTGCTAATAATAGATGCATTCACTAAATATATTATCCTAATACCAGTAAAAAGCACGAAAACAATCCATTCCATCAGAGCAATAAAACATTATTTTCACACTTTTAGCGTCCCGAGAAGACTTATTTCTGATAGAGGAACCTCATTTACATCTAAACGGTTCAATGAATATTTAGACTCGTTAGGTGTCAAGCACGTGCTGAATACTGTTGCCACTCCTCGTGCTAATGGGCAAATAGAACGGTATAACCGCACAGTATTAGCTTCTTTAACAGCGTCAAATTTTGGTAAGCCTGAACATTTATGGGACGAATGTGTAAGTGACATTCAGTGGGGATTAAATAATACAATAAATAAAACAATTGGTAAAACTCCTGCAGAAGCTTTATTTGGTATTAAAACAATAGGAACCAATGATTCTTTGGTGCAGATTAATGTCTTAAGTGATTCCGATAATGAAAATGCACAAAATACTAATAATATTGACAGTATTAGGAACGAAATATCGCAACGAATTAAAATTGATCAAACAAAACAAAAGGAACGTTTTGATAAGAAGCGGAAAATCTTAAAGTTTGTTGTAGGTGATTTGGTTAGAGTAGAGAGAGAGATTCCTTCAACAGGTAAAAGCAAAAAATTAATTTCTAAAGTTCGCGGTCCTTATCGTATATGTAAGGTTCTCGATAACGATAGATATGTAGTCGAAGATACACCTATATCACGCAAAGGCAGACGTTTTAGTGGTATATTTTCCGTTGATAAAATTCATCCTTGGTTGGTTTATCAACGAAACTATGAGTCTGATACTCAAAGTTCAAATAGTAATACCGATGAATGAATAAGTATACGATTACAAATAATTTGTTATTAGTGTTGCAAGAATCATTTTCTTTCTTTCTGTAATGATTAGAAATAAATAATATTTTTTTCATTTAGTTAGTATACTGATATTACTGATATTTGTTTATAATTATTTTGTTTATTATAGTACATTATATTAATGTCATCATTTATTAGGAAAATGAATATTGAAGACATGAATGGGGCTTCGGTATTCTTTACTTACATTTGCCTCTTGAGAACATGAAGGGGTCTCATGCAGGTGAATATTGAAGACATGGATGGGGCTTCAGTATTCTCTACTTACTTCTTGCCTCTTGAGAACATGAAGGGGTCTCATGCAGGTGAATATTGAAGACATGAATGGGGCTTCAGTATTCTTTACTTACTTCTTGCCTCTTGAGAACATGAAGGGGTCTCATGCAGGTGAATATTGAAGACATGAATGGGGCTTCAGTGTTCTTTACTCCTTTCCTACCTGTTGAGAACATGAAGGGGTCTCATGCAGGTGAATATTGAAGACATGAATGGGGCTTCAGTGTTCTTTACTCCTTTCCTACCTGTTGAGAACATGAAGGGGTCTCATGCAGGTGAATATTGAAGACATGAATTGGGCTTCAATATTTTTTGCGTTGTTATTTCATTAATTTAAAATAAACTGTAATTAATTTTATATGATAATACATTTTATACTTTCCTTTCACGGGACGTGAAAATGTCAGGAAAGGCCGATTGTTAGCAATTAAATATAAAGAACAATTAAGCATAATATATTGAATTATCCTAATTTTAATGTAGTTATCTCTTGAAATATACATCTAACTTTAATAAATGTAAATCGAATTTCCGCTTTTGTAGCTTTGAATTTTCGGTAAGATTTTTATTGTAATAGTTTCGGATTTGACTTCTAACAAAAAGAAGGATATAAATGGCCGTCACGACCCAAGCTAGGCATTCAGTTCTAAGGTGTTGAAACTTAAGAGACTTGATTGTTTTGTGTAAAGATATAGTGAAGGTAATAAGAGTAGAAGTGATTATTTGTAAAGTGATTATTTGTACGATAAATAAATTGTGAGTTATAAACGGATGAAATAAAAGTGATATATTGTAATTGTATTATTTGCTAACACAATGATTATACTTAATTTACAGTGCCATTCACTATGCTAAAGTGCCAATGATTGTAACATTCCCTAGAAAAAAGTTTAATTACATTTTTAACTTAATTAAACATTTTTAAAGAAAGAAAAAAAAATTATAAATGTAATGCGTTATTTTATTTATGGCTATCTAAACTTAAATCAAATAAAACCATAAAAAATATAATAAATTTGTTTATTTACGAGGATTAACCACTTACAAGTAGAAATTCGCTTAAAGTGCCAATGATTATACTGCTTACCCTATATATTAATCTATAAAACGTGTTTTAGTTTAGTTATTTTTGTTTTGTTACGCTAAAGAAGTATAAGTTCTTACGTGCGTACATAAGTACCCACACACGTTTTTTAACCTTAAAAAACTTTGTTCATTCATTCATTCATCAAAAGTTGCCAAGCTTGACTGGCGTGTTGGAAACCGCAATATTTTATTATGTAATTTACTGTCAGGAAGATACTGCTGCCCATCTCTTGTTTAATTTCCCTCTATCGCCTATTAAGCCAGCCACGGCAAGATATGGGGTAGTGGGTTTACTTCCGCCACCACTACTTGACGATGTTGGCATCTATTAAAAAAATATAGCGCATTGAAGAGCTAAGCATAAGATCGTAAAGACAATATTCGCAGTAGAACCACAGTGATTGACATAGAGAGTGCTAAAGGAAACTTTTTTTATAGTATAGGGTAACAAACGAGCACACAGTCCACCTGATGGTAAGTGGTTACTGTGACCCATAGACATCTATATATATCCTTAATAAAGAAACAAAATACAGATGCATTGTCACCCGTGAGGACTAAGATGGAATGCCTTTTTTCCAGTAAAAAGGGTCTCCGGTTCACTACACGCACCATACGAAACCAGCAGTGTTAAGCACTAGCGTAAAATAGCTGGTACTCTGTGAGAGCGCGGTTCTACCGCTCTACCGTGCCGACCCATTCGTACTACAACTATACTACTAATATAGCTGCAGCATGGCTTGAACTCGTACAAACTATTTGAATATATTCATAAACTGAACTTTAATGAAGATTTTATGGCGCCATTGAACAAATTCGAACCTACATTTCAAAATAATAATCATTACTTTCGATTCTATCTATTAATATATATTAACCAATTTCAATAAAACAAAGATTAAATATAACTGGAAGATACGCTTTATGATTTTCTTAACGATTTTTTTGAAGAAAAAAAACAGACACAGACAGACAGACTATACTAAAAATTATAAAAATGTACTTATTTAATTATTTTCAGTTTCCCATAATGATTTTAAACACAAAATATAATATACAATGTACAAAACAGACACATGTTATCATTTTTATTATATGTGTATATTTAAAGAGAGATGGCGCTGCTAATATCAATTCTAAAAATAAATGAGATTTATTGACGCGATTTGTACATTATATAAAACGTAAAAGAACTTATAAATCAGTGCCTGCACAGTAAGCAAAAAATAAAGTTTGATCCTCGCCAAAACCAACGCAATTGTTAAAAGGTCTTTTAAAATTTGATTTACCACATAGAGTACTCGGCGGTAAAGAATAAATTGAGTTTGTCAACACGCAGTAGGGCAGCGAGGAATACACAGACTAATATAATACTACGTATAATATATATACGTAAAATATGAAAACTCATCTACAGGAAAAAACCACAACCGGCCATTTGCATTACATTTGCACAACATCGCCATCTATCGATGAAATTGGTTAACTATTGTGCTTTAGATTTTGTTAATAAGGTTAATATATTTTTGTATAATATATTTAATACGTTCTTTAATACTTTTCTTTACTGCGTTTTAGATATACATAATTATATCATTATAAAACATTATTTTACATAATTTAATTATGATTTATGATATGGTATTAGTTTAAAATGCACTTGATGATTCAACCCATACTTCAGATAATTTTATTGAATTTTTTGAAATTAGATTTTAATGAAATAAAGACTAAATGTAACCCGAAGATACTCTTTATAATTTCCTTAACAATTCTTATGATATAAATTAGTACTTTATACGTGATACGTTAACAAACAAACAGACAGACAGACAGAAAATTCTAAAAATGGTAGAAATGTATTTAATTACTTATTTTTACTACCCCTCAATCACTTTTATTAAAAAAATTTAAAATGTACAGACATCTGCTATTTACATTTTTATTATATGTATAGAAGATAGATTAAGATATTCTTTGCTTGAAATAATAAATTATTATTATTATTATATCCCAACGGATAAGTAAGCCGCAGTGGCAAACGGTCGGCCATATAGCTCTAAGAACCGACAATCGATGAGGAAATTCTTGAAAAAGTTCTCGAGGTGCTTGCTATTGTCTAGTGTCTGGAAACCGGACAATGACAGTGTTAAGTTGAACCTACATTAAGTTAATCTGTATTTTGGTTCTTTCCTTATAAACCTTTATTTATGATGATTTTATGTGTATGTGATTTACGATTAATAAGAATATTTATACCCAATATGATGTAGTAACATACATCACCCCATTTCGCCCCGTGGGTGGCGTAAAGGGTGCCAATGGGATAAGCCAAAAAGATGGCTTCCGATAGATGGCGGTGTTATGTCTTCGAGTCCTTTAAAGTATACAACAATGCAAGTAACAATGGGTGCTTCATACCATACTCTTATGGTACGAAATCGAATCATAAATTTTTTACATTGTTTCACGCCACACCTACATGAGACGGCATAATAGATCAAGCCACGTTATAATATTTCAAAACGAAAGACATAGGCGTTCCGAAGCTATTCTCTGATACATAAACTTCAAGCCAGAATTCTCGCTAAGACATGGATTTAAATAACTCCGGTTCCGTTGACGCAATATATTTCAATCTCGGTAAATCAAAGCCACTAAGCAAATGGTCACTAAATCTTAAAATAGAATCACATCTCAAAAGCAAACAATAACGGTGTTTTCGAGGGGAGACTGCTAGCTTGAATTCAGGCTAGAACCCTACCAAGTAAAGTGTTGTATCTCCTAAAGTATTGAGGAACATTTTATTTTCTTAAGTTTTTGATTGTCACCAATTCTTCACTTAATCTTGACATACTCAAATTTAGAATATCGTTTGGGACGCCATTAAACAAGCATTACCACAAGGAATAGATGTTGAAAACGTGGCAAACGACGCCACTAAAAGTTTTCCTTTCACCTTCGATGAGAATCATCGCTGGTTTCAAGGATCAGGTCCTTGAAACCAGCGATGATTCTCATCGAAGGTGGAAGGAAAACTTTTAGTGGCGTCGTCTGCCAGGTTTTTTGACGTCGGTACCCATCGCCATTCACATAGCCTACTGTGATCTTCGACATCAGCCATGACGACATGATTTATGGCCCATGCAAGTGGACATAAAAGAAAGCTTAGAAACGAGTGGAGAAAAGTCACCAAAAGCGTAAATACGCTAAGAAAGGGAGAGCCGTTAAGTCTAACGGGCCACACCCACACCTGAATAACTTCGCGCCGCTACACGCCCGACCTCCGGACGAGTGACCTTTACCAAGAGAAATCCTCCCTATATAGATTAGGGAGTTGAGTAACAACCCACAATGTCACTGACTGGCAAACTAAGATCTTTTATTATTTTGACACCAATATGCAGCGACCGGGGAACCGAACCCCAGACCGCTACTATTACCTACAACGCCACAACGGCTCCCAGGACCGGCCCGGAGAAGTGATCCGTGAGGAGAACCCGGGTAATGGGAGAAATGTCCCGAGGCCCGAAACCTGCTGTGTGTTATATAAGCACATCAGCAGACGACAATGTAAGGCAATTCGTTCGGGACCAG